TATGCATATGAAATCAACCTAAAGTATTAGGTTACTATCACAGAAGTAGCACACTCTGTGAAAGATAATAGATTATCCCTGTCCCCAAGAAATTTACAATTGTTGATGAGAAAAAAATTTATATCAGAAACTACAACTGTATTGTACATGCATATACACAGAGGGAAAAATCATAGAAAGTAAATTAACTTTTAGAGACAAGTAACTCTTCCCTGATAAATATCAGCTTGTACTTTTAGGTACTATGAATAAGGCTTCTCAGCTTACATGTCTCAATTTTCGGAGCGCTCTCAGCTTTGATTCTACAACATCTCAAAGATTCCAGAACAGTGCTGAACCATGTGACAAGTCTTCAGGTGGATCTTGAAATAATCTTTAAAGAAATCTTCTCAGGTAGGCAAAACATTTTGTTTCATTTGGTTTTTGTTTTTAAATTCTAAAAGCACTAATTTTATTTTCCAATGGACACTTCTTTTCATATGCAAATGTAACTATTCCTTAAACACTCCTTTCAGATGTTAACATTATACCTTTCTGAATGCTAATTAACAAAAAGAAGAAATGGTTGATACTTTGGTTCTTGATTTTGAATCAATGTGAAATATTGATGTTTTCCTCTTAGGCTCAGATTTTTCTTTAAGGTATCTTTTCTTTAATTGTAAAATATATCATATATACAGAAGGCTGTACAAAATACATATGTGCTGTTTAAATAACTACCTACTGAATGTTCATGTAACCATCACTCAGGTTAAGAAATAAGATCCTAGGTATTTTTTCATGCACTGTCACAGAAGGAAGGGAACAATTTATGATGAGAGAGTCTAAATGTCCTTGTTGTTCTTTAATCAAAAATGAAAAATTTCCCTAATCATTTCTCTTTTGACATGTTAGTCCCAAATTTGTTTACTGAAGTAAACAGTAAACAAGTACAAACATCTTACATCCTAAATCCAAATTAAATTCTTTACATAATAGTTTATGATGCTCCTTGATGTATTTAAGGGAAAGAGGCAACATATAATTAATAAAGAACAAATTATTTTAAACCTGTGCTGTTGATGTTTATATCATTGTGATTTATTGTCCTATATTGTTGCTAATGTTTTTAAAGCCTCCTGTGAAAATGTTTGACCATGAAGAATGATTAACAAGCCTAAATAAAATGTGGTCTCTAACATGATTTTTAAGTACAGTGGCCCTAAATACTGAAGAGTGCATTGAATGACTGTTTCTTCTTTTGCAAAAAATAATCCATTGTCTTCTGGGCTTATCACCTTATGTAATATTTTGCATTATGGTAAAATCCTGCATTCAACAAGTAGTTACTGAGTTCAGTGCAGTACTAAGCATCATGAAGAAGTGAACAAAAGTAGAAAAACATTATCCCTGCCTTCAGGGGAGCTTAAAAACATTGGGGAAGCTAAAGCATTCACTAATGAGGCAAAAATACTTACAATCCATAATCAATTGAGAGTGAAGCACAGACTGATTATAGAAACTCACAAACTAAAAAATTGATTGTATTTCAAAAGGAGTTTGTAAGGGTGCTGTTTTGAATTTCAAACATTTTACCAACAGAAATATTATAAATACATGCTGACTGGATTTATAGCTTTGCCAAGAGAAACTCATTTAATTCATAATATATGGAAATTATCTCTGTATATTTGCCAGGAAAATACAGTAGAAATCAAAAGTGTTGTAATACTATTAGACAAAAATTGGAAAACAAAAATGGGTATGAAATAGGTTTGTAAAATACATCTTGACATATTCTGAACGCTGATGCTTGAGAAGGAGTGTGTTTATTAATAATTAAAGCAGGTAGAGGAAGACTGCTGTGGAGATTTGAAAAGGCATTGCTATCAAGAGCACTTGTGGTCCAAGACATATCTCTATTTCAACTCAAAATATACATTTTTCATTTTCACTCACTCATTCAACAAGTATTTATTGAGAATCTCTACTATATGTCAGGCACTGTTCTAGGCACTGGGAACACATGGGGGAGAGGGCATGGTGAACTCAGAGCTTCCCTTCTAGTGGGGGCTGGGAGGGGAAAACAACAGTGTCAAGAAGAGATAAGTGTTTTTCCTTGCTTCATCTTGAACATTACTCAAGATTATGACAAATATTAACTTTATATTTACCTTCATGGTCAGGGTTGGAATGTCTCTTTGTCCTAAATGGAACTAAAGAAGGGAGGGGAAAATAGAGGGTGCAGACATTTCCTAGGGTTTCTGGCAACAACCACAAGATGGGAAAGGGAAGTATGTTGGAAAAGATTACCTCTGTTATGATCAATGAGAGGGAAAAAATGAATGTGATTCATTTGATGGGAAGGGTGTTATTTTACATCAGGCAGAAATCACCAAGCCTTGGCGAGTTTGGGCACTGTTAAAAACAATCTAGAGGAAGAGGTAGTTTTCCCTGATCATTTAAACCTGTCTTGGACATTTCTCCTCTTTCTCTCCTTTCCTCCTTCTGTGCTTCCATTCCTTTCTTCCTCCCTCCCTCCGCCCCCGTCCCTCCCTCCTCCCCTCCCTCCCTCTCTTCCTTCCTTCCTTTTTTCCTTCTTTCGTTCTCTCCTTCCTTCCTTGAAGCAAACATACACTGGTGATTGCCAGGCACAATCCTAAGCATTAGAGATAAAAACATATGACACAGTCCTGACCTGGTCCTGAAGCAACTTAGAGTCTAAAAGAGTGTTCCCAACTCAGGGATTAGTTATATCCAGGGGAAGCACTTTTAACTACTTAACAACCCATGTAGCACAAGCCTACGAATGAAAATATATGCCAGTCAAGGTTCCAGAGTAGAATCCTGGAAATGCACTGTAGGTAGCCTTGTATGGCCGCATTGTGGAGAGGTGGGAGGTCCTGAGTGAGGAGCTGGAATAACCAGGATAATTGGGAGGTAATGGTACTGGGGCGGGCGGGGGGTGGGGGGGGGGAGTCGCCATAGTAACTATTTACCAGATGCTATAAAAGTATTAGTCATGTTAACAATGACTGTCATTTAATGATGATATGACTGTATCAATGAGTACCAATTAAATCCTTGGCTCTACTTATATCCAATGCTTAGGAAAAGAAGGAAGTGGTTGTAGTGAGATTATGTGATTGAGGGAAGCTCTCCTGAGTGAGTCCTGAGCTTAGTCTTGAGAAAGAAGATTGGCATTAATTGGTGACTAGGACGGGGAGGACATTCAGGCATGAGAAACTGCCCAAGTAACAGTGGAAATGGATAAATCATATACAGAATGTTGTTAAAGAGACCCTACTTAACTGGAAATGTGGGCAGTGAGAATGTATTATGCTAGAATGAAGACTGCATTTGGAAGAATGGGTTGTGTGCAAGCAGCAAGGGAGAAGGGGGAATGGTGGTTGTGGTGCTAGGGTTACAAGCTTAGTTCTGACATAGCAGGAAGAAAAGGGGGAGCTACTCTGTTTGTCCTAACATGATGAATGTGACATGTGAGGAAAAATATTCTGCTGACTATATGTAGACTGAAGAAGCGTAAGGACAGTTTAAGTGGCTACTTCAGCAGCCCTGGTAAAGTTCATTAGGGCATGAACCAGTGTGGTGACTATGGAAATGAAAGGAAGGGTTCAATCTGATAGATACTGCAAGACCATGTGAGGACTGGAGAAAGAGGAACAGATGATAAGCACAATCTATTACATCTTAAATATGACAGCAGTTTTCTAAATCCCCAAAGAAAAATACAAGTCTCTAATACTAATTTCTTAAAGAATAGCAATTTAACCATATATGAATCCTATTTAATTTATAAAATAAAGATCCTAATTTTTGATGATGGGGCAGTATGAATTGATAATCTTTTGAAACTCAGAATGAGGCTGCTGTATTATGCCAACAAGGAAGAGCGTTAAGCTAATTTTTTTTTACTGTTTATTGATACTAACATAGAAAATACATATAGTATGAAATCATTGACATGTATCTGAAATCTGCTAGATTTAATTGTTCTGATGTTCTGTTTACTTACTAAAAGTCACTTCCAAATGAGTTTTATCTTTTGAAGGTGGGAAGAAATGCTTGATTTTTAACTGAGTTAATTTTCAATTGACTCCTAAGATAACAGGGAAGCTTTAGGAGCCTAATTAAGCCATGTATTTGCTCTAATTACTTTAGCTGCAGACTGCTAGGAAACAAAAGCAGCAAACAAACCTGCTCTGTGCGCAGCAGCCAGGCATTTGACAGTTGTTTTCTCCAGCAGAGATTCTGAGTAGCCCAGAAGTTAAGCTGAGACGAAAAGCCATCATCTGCAAGTGGTGGCTGCAGCTAGAAATCACAGGGCAGCCCTTTTTTCCTGCATAGTGTAGAAAACATCATTTATCATGCATGATTTTATTCATGACCTAACACAGAGAAAGCAATCATCACTAGCATCATTTTTAATATCAAGGTAGCACCACATTTTTATCAACATAATTGGATGTTAGCTCACAAAGACTATAGAGTTAATACTTAAAGGACAATTTATATATTGGGCAAGAATAATAGTGCTTTTATACTGCTTACTTTTTCCTCTTAGGCTTTATTCTCTTGAAAAATGTCCACATTTAATGTAACAGTTTGCAAGCTAAGTAAATTCACACTTCTATTATCCATTTTGATTTCAGTACAAGTGGAGTTTAGAAGACTGATGATCATGTGTACAAGGAAAAAAAAACAGATGAGGTTTTATTACTAGTGACTACTCAATTCAGTCAAACAATTGCTTTCTTAAAACAGGATTCACAGGAAATTCCTTTTAAAGGCAAACCCCATTCAAGGCGTATTTTTTCAATGGAAACGATTTCAAAGGTAGTGTGGCTGTATTTATCCATTTACCTTAGTTTCTAAGTGTAAAATATCAGCTGAAATGCTTGAGTTCCCCCCTCAGCTACTCTAGTAAACAAATAAGAAATATTATAGGTTTTATTACTTCTTATCTGCTGCTTTAAAAATCCGTGTTGGAGATTCTTAGTTCAGAGTCCAAACTTTACAGAAATTATGACACTTTCAGCTTTCTGGGGTAACTTGTCCTAAATATAAAAACAGAAAATTTAAGAGATAAGAATCTATAACCAAAGTAGAGTAGAACATTAAGAGCAACCATCTGGTAAGTTCAGGCTAAACACAAAGTCTCTCCATTTTGCTTGAACCATCTAGAGGTCTGTATCAGCTCTCAGCTTTATTTTGCCTATGGAAACCTGACCTAAACTAAACAACTATTCTATATCATTAAGTTGTCCAGGAAAATGAAAGTTTAAATATATGTCAGACAAGCTACAGCACCTGGTGCAATTCAGTAATGATTGTCTCCTCCAGAGAGCTTCAGTACTGGAACAAGTTTTAGAACTGAGATTTGGTTAACCCATGTAAAGAAAAAAACATTCTTCAAGCCCATACATTCTCCCTATTCACAAATACTATCGTATTCACAAATAATATTGCCGCATCCTCTCCCACTGTAGGAAACATACAAAGTAAAATCAATCCCTCTATGAAACATTTTATTACATCTCTAGTTCCATTCTGCTGCAGTCAAATAATACACTTTGGATACAAATAATCAGCATTGCTAAACTTTCACAGTAGTTGTCTAAAATTATTTTCATGCTTGTTTTTTTTTTAAATACATTGATAAGTCCTAAGGGTTCCCTCCTAGAGAATAATGTCTTGTTAACATGAAGCATTGCTTATTTGAGTGCTGCATAACATTTAACAAGTACAGATGCTTTCTTATAGTTTGTTGATATGAGAATAAATTGGGTTCTGTCTTCAAAATAGCAGATAAGCTTAGATATGTGAATTTTTTAAAAGGAAGGTTAAAGTGATCATGGTGAGATGTCAATATCTCCCTTCTCAACTGCACTACAGACCTCCTTATGTCAAATTTACACATCTTTCAAAACAGAAAAGAATGTAGTTTAAAAGTAATGGTTTTTCATCAGTAGACTGGGGAAAATTTGCAACAAATATGACAAAGTTTTAATATCTTTATTATGTAAACAAGTCACACATTATAAGAAAAAAACACTAGGAATCCAACAGCTAAGGAAGGCAAAGGACACAAAAAGACACTTTACAGAAGATAATCTATTGTCCATAAATACATGTAAAAGTTTTAAATTCTCACTAGTATAAAACATTGCAAGTTAAAAAAACCATGGGATACCATTTCACCCATCTTATCAGTGATTTTATTTAAAAAAGTAATATACAACTCTGGCAGTCAGTGTGGTGACAAGGTAAATTGATATATTTTTGAAAAACAATACATGAGATTGAGGTTCATATATTTTAACTCAGTAATTCCACTCCTCAGTTTCTACCCAAGAGAATAATTCTCAACATTAAAAAAACAATCTATAGGTTCCAAGATGTTCACTGCATCATTATTTCTAATATTGGAAAAAATGAAAACAATCTAAATACCTCAAACAGACGGATGATTAAGTACATTAACTGCCTAGAATATTTTACTGCATTTTAAATGATGTTTAGGCTAATCTATAATCATACGGGCAAATGTTATCATGTAATGTTAAGTGAAAAAAAGATAAAATATTATCTACATTGTAAGCATACCACTCTATGATAAAATTTTATAAAGACATGAGGAGTTTTAAATCTACTATTCTCAGTATTTCCCAAATATTCAACATGCAGTTTAATGTTTTTCAATACATTTTAAAATGTCAATTTTTTTTTACTCAAAGCACTTTCAAATGCACTGCTTTGTTTTCAAAACACATCTATCTAAAGCAAAACCCGGTGCTTGGAAAGGCTTATGAAATATTATAACACCTATCATAAAAATCTCAAATGATTTTATTAATGATCATTTTGCTTATAAGAGTAGGGAATCTTCTACATAATGTGACCAAGCAGCCGAAACGTGGGTAGCAGCTCCAGTCAGAGTTCTGTCAGCTTCCACTCTCCTTCTACCTCCAGCCCTTTTCAGAAATCACGGCTGCTCCTAGCACCTGTGAATATACTGTTTATAAACCGGTGGCAGCGGAGGGAATGATAATGGTGGTTGTGTTTTTTTTTTTTTTTTTGAGATAGTCAAAAGCAAATCTTTTTTTCTCAAAATGGGAGCATCAAAAAGGAGCCATTCATCCAAATGTGTTTATTCTGTTTCTAACAGAGAAAAAATTCTTAAGAGGGCAAGGTTGGGGGTTATTTTTAGGATGTATACCTTGCCTGGTTTACTGTTAGATTTTATAAATAATACGCTTTGCAGCATCTACCCAGGGGCAAAGGTGAACTGACATTCCATTCTTTTAGAAATACCACATCCCACCCTCCCTCTCCAAAATCCCTCTTTGCAACTGTGGTCACTTCTTTGACATTTTAATGTAACATCAACCCATCGCCACCCTTAGGAAGCCGAAATCCTAGTAAAAGAGAGAGCGGGATAGAGAGAAACTGAGAAACACTTCAGAAGTTGCACTTACACTCCACATTCCAGCAGTTTGTCCAGAAACAGAGGAGGCAGTAGTTCTTATTTTTGTGGTATCAAGCTGTACACTGAGATTCAGCAAAAAGTTTCCTTTCTTGACGCGAGGAATGCAAAATATATTCTAGGATATGTGTTAAGTATGGTCCTTTGTTCTAGGTATGAGCTTTTCTTTTTCTAAAGTTTTTCGGTCTCGATCAAGCAAAGGGAAACATTATTTTGAAATTCTCTTAAAGGAGCCTTTCAAAGCCTCTCCCACGGGAAAAGATCACCGCAGCTCAACACTGCTGTATTTGAGTAAGAACCGAGTCCGTTTTTTTTTTTTTTCTTCCAACATGGCTGTATACTTTGCAGGCCCCCAAATTTGTGCTTTCATAGTCAGCATTAATCAAACAGCCGGAACCACCCTCTTTATCCAACCTACGTTTCATGGACTAAAAACGCACCCTAATAAAAGAGGAGGCTCGTTTTGAAAACCTCGCTGTTACTTGTGTGCCCCAGACTCGCGGGCTTTTATCAGGGCTGGAGCAAGCTCGCGAGTGCCTGCAGCGCGGGGGGCGGCAGGTCTGAGAGCCCTGGTCGTTAACACGTTTCCAGGGGTTGCCCACACGTTCTCCCGAGACTCACGGCTCGCCGGGCGCGGTGGGAACTAGTGGACCAGACTGTGAGAGAAAGAGAATTTATGTGAGGGACGGGAAGAAGAGAGGGCGCCCGACAGGGTCCCGGGGTCACCGTGGCTCGGGGATTTGCACGAATTTATCACTACCATTAACAGCTATTTGCAGAGGGTTGTTTACCGCCAAACGCGCGACAACCACACAGCGGAGCCCACTTCGCGCCCCAAGCCACGCCTCCTTGCCCCTCAGCACCCCTCATGCCCCCCAAACTAATTAATTCGAGGCGGTCTGCCTGCCAGACCCTCCCATTGGCTCCCATCCCATCCAATGAGAATCTGGCAACAGTTTCACCTGGCTTCTGCTTCCCAAATAAACAAACAAGCAGTCCCGGGACCCTGCAAGCCCTCCTCCCCGGCGCCGCCTGAGACCGTTGCGCTCCGCCCCCTCTCGCCCCCTCCAGCCAATCGAGCCCGGCCGTGGTGCCCCCGCCCGGCCGCCCTCTCCTCCGCCCCTCTCGAACTTCTCCCGATACTCCCCCCACCCCCAGTCCGTGCCTCCTTGGAGTCCCCGTTAGGACCAGCGTGGCCAGGGGCCCCGCCTCCTCCCGTGGGTCCTCCCGAGACCCACAGGCCGGGAGATTCTCCCAGAGGGTCTAGGAGGGATTGGAGGCGGCTCCACCTCTCGGGCCGGCCGCCCCCTCCCTCGCACACCTCTGCGGGCGGTGGCTCGCGCCCCTCTGCTGCGCTTGTAGCAGGAGCCGCAGCGGCAGCCGCGTGAGGCAGCGGTCACGTGTTGTTTTGCCCGCCGCCGCGCGCATGGAGTGGAGTGGGCGGGGGCGCGGGCCTAGGCGGAGGGGGGGGGGGGCCGGGGCGGGCGGAGGGGGTAGACGGCCTCTTCCCCCATCCCTCCCTTCCCCGAGCCCCCCCCCTCCCTTTCGCTCACCTTAAAACCCTCGTGCATCACCATGGCTAGTTGCTCCTTCGCTCGCGACCAAGCGACAAGGAGACTGCGAGCTGCAGCAGCGGCAACGGCGGCGGCTCTAGCTGCGGCGACGACCACCCCGTTTCTTTCCTCGAGAACCCCCACCGCACTCATTGGGACCGGGTCGTCTTGTCCGGGAGCCATGTGGCTCTCCACGGCCACTGGCTCCCGGTCAGATTCGGAGTCCGACGAGGAGGACCTCCCCGTCGGGGACGAAGTCTGCAAACGCGGCTACCTGCGGAAGCAGAAGCATGGGCACTGGCGCTACTTCGTGCTCAAACTCGAGACCGCCGACGCCCCAGCTCGGCTGGAATACTACGAAAATGCCAGGAAGTTCCGGCACAGTGTCCGGGCCGCGGCGGCTGCAGCGGCGGCGGCCGCCTCCGGCGCCACGGTCCCCGCGCTCATTGCACCGCGGCGCGTGATCACCCTGTACCAGTGCTTCTCGGTGAGCCAGCGAGCCGACGCAAGGTACCCACACCTCATCGCTCTTTTCACCCAAGACGAGTATTTCGCGATGGTGGCCAAGAATGAGTCGGAGCAAGAAAGCTGGTACTTGCTGCTCAGCCGCCTCATCCTCGAGAGTAAGCGCCGCCGCTGCGGCACGCTCGGCGCGCAGCCGGAGGGAGAGCCGGCCGCGCTAGCGGCTGCAGCGGCGGCGGAGCCACCCTTCTACAAAGATGTGTGGCAGGTAATAGTCAAACCCAGGGGGCTGGGGCACCGAAAAGAGCTGAGCGGCGTGTTCCGGCTCTGTCTTACCGACGAGGAGGTTCTGTTCGTGAGGTTAAATACCGAAGTGGCCAGCGTGGTCGTCCAGCTCCTGAGCATCCGTCGCTGTGGGCACTTGGAGCAGTATTTCTTCTTGGAAGTCGGCAGGTCCACCGTCATCGGTCCGGGGGAGCTCTGGATGCAAGTGGATGACTGTGTGGTGGCCCAAAACATGCACGAGCTGTTTTTGGAGAAGATGAGAGCCTTGTGTGCGGACGAGTACAGAGCCCGCTGCCGCAGCTACAGCATCAGCATCGGCGGCCACCTGTTAACCCTGCTGTCCACTAGGAGGCACCTGGACATGCTGCCGCTCGAGCCCGGTGGCTGGCTCCGAAGGTCCCGCTTTGAGCAGTTTTGCCACCTTAGGGCCATCGGTGACGACGGGGAAGACGAGATGCTCCTCTCCAGGCGCTACATAACACCCAGTGAGCCTGTGCCCCCCTCCAGACGAGGAAGACTACACCTGCCCAGAGGGCGCAGATCCAGGAGAGCGACTTCAGTGCCAGCCAGCTTTTTCCGCCGCGCCGCACCCAGCCCTGTGCGCATCCAGTGCCCTACAGAAGCCCTCCACGACCGAGATCCCGTGTCTTCTGAAGCCTCTGGTTCTGGCTCTGGCAACTCGGGGGAAGAAGGCGGTCCTCAGGGCAAAGAGGATCAGGAAGAAAACGAAGGTGACTATATGCCCATGAACAACTGGGGCTCGGGAAATGGCCGGGGCTCAGGAAGTGGACAGGGTTCAAGTGGGCAAGGCTCCAGTAGCCAAAGCTCCGGGGGAAGTCAGTGCTCAGGCAGGGGGCATGGCTCTGGAGGTGGTCAGGGTTCAAGTGGCAGCCATGGCTCAAGTGGCAGAGGCTCTGGGGACCAGAGTGCAGGAGGAAACCAGTGCTCGGGAGACGGCCAGGGCACCGCTGGGCATGGCTCAGGCAGTGGCCAGGGAGCTGGAGGTGGGCATGGCTCAGGCCGTGGCCAGGGACCCGGAGATGGCCATGGCGCAGGCGGTGGCAAGAACTCGGGAGGAGGCAAAGGCTCAGGGAGTGGGAAGGGCCCCGAAGGCAATGGTGATCGTGGGAAATCTCTGAAGAAAAGATCCTACTTTGGCAAATTAACTCAAAGCAAGCAACAGCAAATGCCGCCACCTCCGCCACCTCCACCCCCACCAGGTGCAGCAACTGGTGGCAAAGGGAAGTCTGGGGGAAGGTTCCGACTTTATTTTTGTGCAGACAGAGGGGCCACAAAAGAACGCAAAGAAGCCAAAGAAGTGAAAGACACGGAGCCCCCAGAAGGTGCAGCTCGGGGTCCCCACAGAGCCAGAGCTTTTGATGAAGACGAGGATGATCCGTATGTGCCAATGAGGCCAGGCGTGGCTGCTCCTCTCGCAAGCTCCAGTGACTACATGCCCATGGCTCCCCAAAATGTCTCTGTGTCCAAAAAGCGCCACTCTCGATCACCTTTCGAAGATTCGAGAGGGTACATGATGATGTTTCCCAGAGTGAGCCCACCGGCTGTGCCAAGTCCTCCAAAAGCACCTGGTCCTGCTAAAGAGGATGACTCAAAGGACGACAGCGACAGTGACTACATGTTCATGGCTCCTGGGGCTGGCGCCATTCCCAAAAACCCAAGAAACGCCCAGGGAGGCTCTTCCTCCAAAAGTTGGAGCTCCTACTTCTCTCTGCCGAATCCTTTTCGGAGCTCCCCATTGGGACAGAGTGACCACAGTGAGTATGTACCGATGTTACCTGGAAAATTCCTAGGAAAGGGCCTAGAGAAGGAAGTCTCATCTAACAAAGATACAGCTTCAGAGCCTTCAGTTGAAGGGTCGTTCTCAAAGCCTAGAGATGGGGGATCACCTTCCAAGCGTTCAGGCGATGGGCCCCCCAAGAACAAGGCTAAGAGACCTAATCGACTTCCTTTTATGACAAAAGGAAACAAAGTCAAGCCAAAACCACAAAAGCCCACACCAGAGCAGAGAGAAGCCGACAGCCCTGGGGGCTACATCAACATTGACTTCCCTAAGAGAGGTTATAATATGCCAGATCCATGTCTTCAAAGACTTCCAGGTGTGTGGGGCATAATTGCCGACCCCAGACAGTTTGCCTTTTCCAATTATGTGAATGTTGAGTTCGGAGTGCCATTTCCAAATCCAGCAGACAACCTCTCAGATCTCTTCAGAGCTATCCCAGGTGCCAATCCCTTCTTTCTGGACGGTGCTACAGGGAGCAGTGCTAATAGGGAAGAAGGTGACTACATCGAAGTGATTTTCAACCCAGCGATGACACCAGCCGTGCCTTTTGCTGACAGTGCCATTCGCTACGATGCCGAAACTGGTCGCATCTACGTGGTCGACCCATTTTGTGAGTGCTGTATGAACATTTCTCTCTCCCCCAGCCGCTGCTGCGAACGACCACCTGTAGCGAGGCTGCTGCTGCGAGAAGGGCTCGAGCCAAGGCGCCCACAAAGCCGTTCGCAAAGTTTCTTTGCAGCCGCCAGAGCCGCCATCTCGGCTTTCCCGACCGACAGCCTCGAGAGAGACCTATCCGCCTCCTTCGCCGCGGCCGCGGCCGCCGTGCCAACCTTAGCCGTGGGCCGAGCTTTAGCCGCCGCCTCCGCTTTGGTCGCAGCTCCCGGCATCGGCGCTGCAGCCGCCGGCCTCGAAGCCGCCGCTGGATTTGACTCCGCCTCCGTCCGCTGGTTCCTACCTGTTGCCGATGCTGCTGGTGCGGCGGTCAGGGGGGCCCAAGACGTTGCGGGTGGCTCGAACCCCAGAGCCCCAAACCCATCAGCAGACCTGGCTGGAGGTGAGAACCGAGCCGCTGGGGCTGCCGCTGCAGCCGCCGCTCCGCCTCCATCACCTGGCCGCGGCCGGGTGCCCAGACCCCCAGAACGAGAAGATTCTGACGACGACGACACGTACGTGAGAATGGACTTTGCAAGACGTGACAACGGGAGGTTCGACTCTCCCCAAAGAGGTTGGTGATTTTTTAATTCATTTCCCTGAAGTTAGTGGCGATTCCTTAATAAATCGATGCACTCCCCCTGTTTACAGTTTTAGGAATATGTTTCATTCACTGGTGCTTATTTAGAATGGAAAGTAGAATTCTGTTTTAATCATTCATTCATGTGAATCATTATTATATTAAAACTGAAGTTTTAATATAGTAAGTTTCTTACCTGGAAAGCACTGATTATCGATTAAACATTGGTTCTACTTTTTAGCAGCAGTTCAAACTTAAGAATGTGTAACATGATGCTTTCAGATAGACTTTCTTAACGCTTATGATTTATGCAAATAGGATGTCGTCGTCCGTGGAATCCCATTAACTCATTTTCAAATCAATATGTAAAAGTTGCTTTTCTGCAAATGACCACATTTAATTGCAGGACATTTAATAAGAGCACTGGATATTAAGCAGTAATAATCAACTGTTAACCTTTGCGGGTTGATGACCTTCTCCTCTGAAAATTACTTTTTAAAGAAGTAGTCATGGTTACGTTGGTTTGCTGAGATTTACCAAGAAGGTTGAATCTCAATTGTTAGTGTGAATGTCTGGAGGGAACCAAAGGTAAATAATACAGAACAACAGGTGATTGAAAGAAGACGGTGTTTGACTCTGGAATGTGTTTTGGTGTTGATTTGTTTTGTTTTTACACAGGATAAATTGCTGGAAATCTTGCGAGTTCCTTTTCTATGTCACTAATAGTGACAGGCAAGTCATCTGCTGTGCCACATTTTCTTCATGTAATTCCCCCCCACCCCGCCCCCGCCAAAGAGGGTATGGTGACAACATGATAATGGGTATGACTATTTGTTTGAAAGGTTTAAAAACCACTTAAAACATCTAGCTGGTTCATCTTCTGGGCAATTCAGTAAAGCAGGATAGTAAGCCTGGGGGCAGACCTGACCCCAGGGGCAGCTTACCCTGGAAGAGTGAAAGTTTTTTTTTAAAGGGTTACTTTTCCAAAGGAAGAAACAAGAAAGAATAGGATCTGTCAGACTTGGAAATAAGACTTCAAGTAAATCTGTTGTATACATCGTGCAGTGTTGTTATCAGTGTCTCTGGAGACATTCTT